GGCCATCTCCTCTTTGCTGGAAGAGAGGGAGAGAGTGTGTGTGTATGTGTGTCTGTGTAGCAGACAGGATTTGAGGGAAATCTCCCATCCTGTGGACAGGAAACGTCCAGAACAGGCAAGTCCAAATGCTAATGCTCCTAAATGCTTGCAGTCAGGTTAAAGCCAGGAGCCTCTCCCGGGTCTCCCACGCGGGTGCAGGGTCCCAAGGCTTCGGGCCGTCCTCCACTGCTTTCCCAGGCCACAGGCAGGGAGCTGGATGGGAAGTGGAGCAGCCGGGACACAAACCAGCACCCCGATATGGACTGCAGTCTTAACCTTCTGTGCGCTTACGCCATCCCCCATCGCCTCCATTTTTCCTTGCCCTGCCCGCTTTTCTGGAAGAGCAGGAGATTGGGGTACCCCATCTTCTCAGAATGCAGGGACTGTCCCAGTGTTACTTGGGGAAAGCTTTCCTGTTTGTGATGGTTGAGGTGTGTGTATGTTGAAGGAGTGTCCGTTTATATTGTGGTGAGGCGCGCAGGAAGTAAAATTCACCATTGGTAACGCTCGGCGCACTGTCCATGTTGTGCAACCGTCTCCTGTGTTTGTACAACACATCCGTCCCCTCGGGAGGGACCCTTCCAGCCGTCACGTCCCAGCCCCTGGCAGCTGCCAGCTGCTCCCCGTCTCTGGACATGTCCTGCCCACGTGGCCTGTCGTGCCTGGTGTCCCTCATGCAGCGCCCGGCCTTGAGGCTCAGCCCGTGGTAGCAGTTGTCATGGCTGCATAAGCCTCCAGCAGGAGTGGCGCAGCGGCTCGGCACAGCAGGCCGACACTGGGGACGTCTCCATTGCCCTGTCGTAGTGCCTGCGTCTCACGCTGCCTTGTAGTTGGGTATCGGGTATGTTTGTTGTTTGGGCTGCCCTCCATTTGGGCCTTTTGCCACTGCTTTGTCAGGCACATGCACAGGAAGCTGGCTTGGAACTGGAGCAGCCGAGGCTAGAACTGGCGCCCCATAGGATGCCAGCGCTGCAGGTAGAGGATTAATCCCTTGAGTCACCGCACTGGCCCCATCCTGGACTATTCTGTGACAGACACTTAGCATGCCCTGGGCTGCTGTGCAGACAGCCAGCTCCACATGATACTTGCAGGTCCCTGACAGGCCAGTAGTCTCCAGACCCCTTACTTCCATGATGTGTGCGTAGCTCTAAGCCCGGATGCGAGGGGGGAGTGTGTGGAACAGGGATGCTATGGGCAGGACGCTCGGTGTGGGGGTTCACACAGTCCCTCGCCGTGACTGGGTGCCTGGGCTCAGGGTTGGGGGAGTGGGCTCTGCCGCTTGTACACCCCCTGCCACATGCACTGCTCAGGTCCCTGGCAGCCACACGGGAGGCCTGGGGTGCAGCTCCTGGCTTCTGGCTTCAGATCGGCTGAGCTCTGGGGAGTGAACCAGCAGACAGAAGATCTTCGTGTCTCCTTTTCTCTGTAAATATGACATTTGGGTGGATTGATGGGTGGGTGGGTGGATGGATGGATGGATGGATGGGTGGATGGATGGATGGATGGATGGGTGGGTGGGTGGATAGATACTTGCTTGAAGCAGCTTGTGGTTTGCTGGTGCCAGGCCACGTGCCAGCAGCCATGAGCCCACCCTCATGACCAAGGTGGTGAACACAGCTGTCACCCACAGAAACTCGTTTTGCTGGGTTCCCCATCTGGAAGCAGCTGTCGCACCACTCAGCATTCCATCCCCAGCAGTTGGTTGTCGTATTCTAGAATTTTACATATGCAAGGGGATGGTGAGAGATCCATGGAAAAATGGAATTAAGCAGTTAAACTTGCTTCTTGCTTTGGTGCAAAGGAATTTCAAAATGTTGTGTTTTTCCTTTCTTCAGCAATAGACATTGTTTAGAAGCTGTGTGAAGACCCTTCTTACAGAACCACGCAGCTTGGGCTCAGGCTTGTGGTGATCAAACCCACCCAGTGCACAACGCTATGTTTCAGTGGCAATACCTTCCCAGTGATGTAGCCACCAGTTCTGATTCCAGAACATTCCATCCCCCGCCCCCTGAGGGCCATTCGTCTGCTTCCTGCCTCTGGACTTGCCTGTTCTGGACATTTCCTGTCCACAGTCACACAGCTGTGGCTTTCCTTATCTGAGAAGGCAGAGTTGCAGAGAGAGGCGGGGACACACAGAATCTGCCATCCAGTGGGTCACTCCCAGGATGACCACAGCAGCCTGGGCTGGGCCAGGGAGAACACAGGAGCTTCTTGCAGGTCTCCCCTGTGGTCACAAGGACCTGAGCCCTCGGGCCGTCTTCCGCTGCTTCTCCTGGGTGGTGTAACAGGGAGCTGGATAGGAAGTGGAGCAGCCAGGACTCGAACAGGCACCCTGTGGGATGCAGCCTTGTGGGCAGAGGCTCCATTCCACGTGCTCTCCACCCATCTGTGTGGTGGTGGGTGTGCCCAGGACCTGGCTCCTGGGTCCCCGCCCGGCCATGCAGCCATCCGTGGGCAGGTGCTCACTGGCCAGGCCAGGAGGACACAGCTGACTGTTCCTGCAGGGCGCCCTGTGGTCCTGTGGTGACTCAGCATAGTGAATCTGTGTCCCTTCCGGGTGTTGGCAAAGGTCAGGGGTGCTGGCTCCTCTCCCGCTGCTGAGCCATGCAGGCCATTGATGGACAGTGGCCGTCCCCCATTGATGGACAGTGGCCGTGTCTGGCCCGGGTCCCTCTGGAGTCCCTCAGCCCCGAGCAATGATGTCCTCGTGGGCAGATGCCGCTGGCTTGATCCCGCGTGTGATCCTGGGGACTGGTGGGTGGGCAGGATGGATACTGGAGGCCCCATTGTTGTGCTGGTTCGCACAGGGCAGCCAGCCCGTCACACCCCCAGCTTCTTGATTTCTCCCACATAACTGGGGCAGGAAGAAACACTCCCATGTGTGCCGGGGCAGCGGGGGCAGGAACAGGAACGAGGAACGAAGGATGGGAGAACGAAAGTGCCCAGAGGTAGCGGAAGTGCTATGGCCGCATGACTCAGCCTGGAGCGGGGGTACCCCCAGATCCCTGCGCCTGCAGATCCCACGCAGGCAAAGGCAGAGGCTATCGCGGCTGCGCACACGTTTGGGCCCCTGTTTGTCCTCCGCAGTCCGTGCGCTGTCTCTGGAGGACACGGGCTCCTGGCATGGGTCAGGGGTGCTGGCATCTCTCTCTCTGCTGAGCCATGCGGACCATTGTGGTCCCCCATTGATGGACAGTGGCCATGTCTGGCCCGGGTCCCTCTGGAGTCCTGCAGCCCCAAGCATGCGCTCAGCACACACGCAGTGTTGGATCAGGTGGTTTTTAAAAATTTATTTATTTATTTAATTGAAAAGGCAAATTTACAAAGAGGAGAAAGAGAAAGATCTTCCAACAGCTGGAGCTGAGCCGATCTGAAGCCGGGAGCCAGGAGCCTCTTCTGGGTCTCCCACGTGGTTGCATGGGGTCCCAAGGCTGTGGGCCGTCCTCTGCTGCTTTCCCAGGCCACAGGCAGGGAGCTGGATGGGAAGTGGAGCAATCAGGATATGAACTGCCCTCAGGCTGGAAAGCCCCTAGAGCAAGCCTTTAGTTTTTGTTAGTTTGTTTTGTGTTTAAGAAAACATACTTGATTTCTAGAAATGTCTTGGGTCTGGCATAGTGGATCCGTGTCTTAGGCCGTTTGGGGTTGCCACTTACTATGGCAGAAGAGAAGAGGGCCCAGGAGCCGGCTTCCGGCCAGGGTCTTGCAGCATTGGTGTGGTGGGGGGCTGCACTGTGGGTGAGACAGGTGCCCCGCCCCCAGCCACTGGACAGCCCAGTTCCACACCAGGACTGAACCCGCAGCACCCGAGGTGTGGGGTGAGGCGTGGGGGGCCCGGCTGGACAGGAGCTGCACTGAGAGCCGGCCCGGTGACTGTGGATTAAATGCTCACCTGTGTCACAGGCCTGTTGTAACAGGAGGGCCTGCTTCCCGTCCAGCTCCCTGCTGTTGCACCTGCCAAGGCAGCCGAGGGGGAGGGTGGCCCGAGTGCGTGGGCCCCTGCCCACGTGTGGGCGACTTGGTTCTGGAGTTCTTTGCTCCTGGCGTTCACCTGTGCCGCCTGCAGCCCTCACAGGCCTTGTGGTGCGAACTGGCAGCCTCTCTCCCACTCATGCTTCATCCTGCCAGCTTCCCGATGGTCCCCCAGTGGCACCTGCCAGCCCCTCTGGGTGGCATAGCTTCCCAGGCACCTGCGGCATTAGTGTCCTCCACGACCTGGGCCGCTCTGGGCTCCCTCAGCGGGCCTGGGAGGGGAGGACCATGGGGTTGTCCGGTCAGATGAGTCCCTGCTTGGGGGTCTCTCGCTCTCCCCCGGTGTTGGGAGTTCTGAGTGCTGCTCCTTCCTGTGGTTGTAACAAGGGCATGGCAGGCGCCGTGCATTTCATCCAGAGAACAGCTCTGGGGGGCTGGCAGTTCAAGGCCGTCCTCCGCCATCCAGGGCCTCCTGGTCAGAGCATCAGGGGTGGGGCCTACCCAGGATCAGTGCGATGACATCCCCACCTCTGGAGGACCCCCCCAGTAGGGGCCTTCCCCAACCTCAGTCCTCCTATGGGACTGGGTGCCTGGGACCCCGAGTTTCAGCTCTGAGTTCCCAGGACCGTTTGGGGCTGGTTCAGTCTGGTTTGGGTTCTGTTGGAGTGGCAGGGCGGCATCGACAAGGCCTGGCGCGGGGGCCCTCCTGCTTTAGGAAGCTGCTGGGCCGAGGTCCCGGTGGTCTTGAAGGGCTCCCCCGTGCTGGCTCGTTCGTCAGCCCCCCGGGGGGGGGTCTGCATCTAGGCACGTGGTCAAACCGAGGCACCCCAAATGCCCACCGGCTGGTGACATAAGGCTTGCCTGGCCGCGGTGGGCAGAGCTGGGCGAGAGATGCTGTGACCTTTGTGGAACCAACTCAGGAGGTGGCCGGGGTCTTCAGGGCTTGGAGGGCGCCCTCTGCTCCCCGTGTCTGACTCTGCCTTCCCTTGCAGCTGCAGGAGGTACGCGCCCAGCTGGGCAGGCATGCTGAGGCCGGGCGGCCGGCAGGATGAGTGTGCGCGAGGCGGGCAGCGCGGGCCGCGGGCAGCAGGCGGCCTACCAGCTGCACATCTTCCCTCGCCTGTCCGCCGCCGGGAGCCAGGCCTCGTGCCGCGTGACGGCCTCCAAGGACAGCACGGCGGCCGACGTGATCCGCGAGGCCGTGGCCAGCCTGCGCCTGGACGCCAGCAAGCGCTACGCGCTGGTGGAGGTGAAGGAGTCGGGCGGCGAGGAGTGGGCGCTGGACGCCAGCGACTCGCCCGTGCACCGCGTGCTGCTGTGGCCGCGCCGGGCGCGGGATGAGCACCCGCCGGCGGCCGGCTACTACTTCCTGCTGCAGGAGCGCGACGCCGACGGCAGCCTCAAGGACGTGCACGGGCAGCTGGCGGCGCAGGCGGCGGCCGCGCGGCGCCTGGTGGAGCGGGGCCTGCTGCCGCGGCCCGAGGCCGACGTGGACGACCTGTGCAACCTGCCCGAGCTCACCGAGGCGCACCTGCTGCAGAGCCTCAAGCGGCGCTTCCTGCAGCAGAAGATCTACACGTACGCCGGCAGCATCCTGGTGGCCATCAACCCCTTCAAGTTCCTGCCCATCTACAACCCCAAGTACGTCAAGATGTACGAGAACCAGCAGCTGGGCAAGCTCGAGCCGCACGTGTTCGCGCTGGCCGACGTGGCCTACTACGCCATGCTGCGCAAGCGCGTCAACCAGTGCATCGTCATCTCGGGCGAGAGCGGCTCCGGCAAGACGCAGAGCACCAACTTCCTGATCCACTGCCTCACGGCGCTCAGCCAGAAGGGCCACGCCAGCGGGGTGGAGCGCACGATCCTGGGAGCCGGGCCGGTGCTGGAGGTGAGCAGGAGGGGAGGAAGAGCCGGGCGGTGCTGCGGGCGGGACTGGGGCGGAGTGCACGCTCCTGGGGGCAGGGCCAGAGTGCATCCCCAGGAGTGAGAGTGTGTCAGTCACAGTTCCCTGGAAAGAACTGCCCACACGGCTGGGAAGAGGACAGAAGGGCCGTGGGGCGGGAGGCTTTATTGTGGCTTTTCCCAGGAAAGAAGCGCCAGGTGGCCGTGGGATGCGCTATTGTGACTCACTGGAGCAGGCAGGCGCGGCCGGCTGGGGCTTGGGGAGCACAGACGGGGCTCGGCGCCTGGGGGACCACAGCAAGGGCCTGGCCCCTCATGGAGCAGGTGTCAGCTGGGGCCTGGGCAGCACAGAAGGGCCTGGCCCCTCGTAGAGAAAGTGCTGGCTGGGACAGGACGGCCTTGGAGCACAGCGGGGGCTCAGCCCCTCATAGAGCAGGCAGCTTGCAGGTGAGTGGGCCTGGCACTGGCTGGTTTGCCCAGGCAAGCTCTAGGCTGCTGTTCCTAGGAATTGGCTGGCCCTGGGCAGAGCCCGTGAGTGTCAGGGCATAGGATTGGGGAGGGGATGGCGATAAAATGGTGTGATTAACCCACCACCACTGGCAGTACCTGCCAGCCATCCTCCAGGTCCCAGAGGGGAAGGCCTGCTGGGCACTCCGAGACCTAGGAGTGGGGCCCAGGGAGGCCTTGCCAAAGGTGGAGGCAGGGAGCAAGGCCCGCACACTTTGCGTGTCCCAGCTGTGGACGCCCCGTGTCTGCTGAGCCTGGACAGATGGCACAGGGTTAGCAGGTGCCCGGCTGAGCCCCCATAGTACCTCCCTGTAGCTCGCATTCTTGGGGCACACCGGGGGACTCTGCAAAGCTCCAGGAGGGCATGTATTGGACTGAATGCTGAAGACGCCCACATTGGGTTGCGTTTCCCAGCTCTGTGGCTCTCTACTTGGGCTTCCTCCCGGTGCAGGCTCTGGGAGCCAGGCAGCTGCCTTGGCTCAGCACCCTCCACCCCCGTTAGGACCTGCAGAGGGCTTCCACTGCAGCTCAGCCCAGCCCTGGGCTGACCAGGCCATCTGCAGGTTTGGCTGGCCAATGGAAGAGCCGTGTGTGTGCGCGTGCGTGTGTGTGTGCGCGTGTGTGTGCGTGTGTGTGTGCGCGTGTGTGTGCCTGTCCCCGTCCATCCAAGCTTGTTTTTTTTTTTTTTATTAAGTTTATGGAAAAGTGAACTGAATTTTATTTTGGTGTCAGAAATTATTTGAAATCTGTGCCCGTTTTGTGTCCTCCGCTCCCGTAATGGGTGTCTCTCCAGGGGAACCCCGTGGAGACCTCGTGGCTGCTGTGGGCCTCAGCTGCTATGGTATAGTGTTACCCACCGGAGCCCACCATGGACCTTCCGGGCTGTTCATTCTTGCCTCGTGCGTCCTGTGGGTTTGGGCAAACGTGGAAGGCCCCGGAGTGCCGGTTACAGAGGCACACGGAGGGCTGTCGGTGTCCTGGACGCCCCCGTCCTCCGCCGCCCGTCTTGGCCTCCCCGCCCCAGCCCCTGGCAAGCGCCGATCCGTTCACTGTGACACTAGGTCCGTCTTGTGGAAGGTCAGAGAGCTGCGTCACGCCGGGCGTAGCCTCGTCACACAGGCCTCCTTAAAGCTCCGCGTGTCTTTGTGACCTGAAGGCGTGTTTCTCGTGGGCAGAGCGCGAGCAGGCTCGTCTAACTCGTGTTCCAGCGTGCTCTGCTTCGTTCGTCCTGTTTCATTCTTGCTACTCTCTTCCTGTGCCCAGCACTCAAGCTTGAGGCCTGGGTATGGATGCCCAAGGATACACGCAACCCGGGGCTCTGGTTCTCCCCAGGGTGCCGGGCCCTTGCTGGGGGTCTTGAAGCAGCTGCCAGTGGGGTGGCAGAGTGGGGAGGACCAGCCCACTGTGGACACGCCTGCCATGTGCTTCCTGGTGGCCACGCATGGCGTGGCGTGGGGGCAGCACTGGCACCAAGCCCCCTGTGAGTGAAGGGAGAGCGAGGAGCTGGTATCATTGTGCACTGGCACTGAGGCCCTGGATGGCACTGCAGGGCGGAGGGGACAGGCAGGCGACAGGCAGATTGTGCTGGACTTGCTGGCCTCCCAGCTCGCGGGGGTCCAGGTCCTGGGCTGCTGGCTGCGTGGCCCCCACCTATGACTGCATTGTCGCCACGGGTCCTCCTTGGTGGGGCACAGGCCACTGGCACCACTCTCCCCTTGCCTGCAGAGACACCCCCTCCAGGATGAGGTCACAGCCCCCAGGGTCAGAAGGCCAGGCCGGGGGTGTGATTGCTGGGGCAGGGAGGAGTCAGCCCAGACACACACCCCATAGCAGGGGGCGGGTCACACCGGTGGGCTGCCTCCCCCCACACACGCCAGGGTGTGGGGTGCTCCCAGTGCCTGCAGTGCCTCTGCCAGGCCCCTCTGCCAGGCCCCTCTGCAGCGGTGGACCCCGGGACTGTCACAAGCCACACCCCTTAGTTCTTCCAGACTGCCTGTCCGGCAGGACCCACACTATTTCCAAAGCTAGCTCCAGCCAGCTAGATGGAGGTGTGTCGTGGCCGTGGTTGCAAACATACTTCCCGCCGTAGGAGAGCGTCTCCTGCCCCCACTCCTTCGCTCAGGCTCTGCTGTCCTGGGCTGCGCTCGGCTGGTGGCCGGCTCGCTGCTGTGGCCTCCTCTCCCTCGGTGTCTCTGAACCCCCTGGCATCTGTGAGTGCCCCCGCTGCCTTGTCTCGTCCTTCCGAAGACTGAGTTCTTTCTTTGGAAGGCAGTTGCGAAGAGGAAGGGAGACAGAGATCTTCCATCCGCTGATTCATTCCCCAAGTGGCCGCAACAGCCAGGCCAAAGCCAGGAGCCAGGAGCTCCCTCCGGGTCTCCCGTGTGGAGAGCGGGAGCCAAGCCCTCGGGCCGATTTCTGCTGCTTTTTTCGGAGGATGGTGGGGGAGCCACATTGGAAGTGCAAGAGGTAGGACTCAAACCAGCCTGTGTATGGGATGCGGTGTCAGGCACTGCCAGGCCCACTCACCTTAGTGTCACACCTGCAGGGGCTGTGGCTCCTGAGGAGGCCAGAGGTGCCAGGGGTTAGGACTGACATTCAGGGGTCACAGGTGCCTTCTGTGGGCAGACCAGGGTCTGAGTCCACCCCGCCCCCAGCCGCCTCACCTCTCCCCCTTTCACCCAGCCCACAGCCCCGGAAGTCCCATGGCTGGCGCAGCCCGGGGGCGTTTGGGACTTTTTCTCAGCTCCCCGAAAGAAGAAGTCCAGTTGTTTTGAGGTTTGGGTGTCGTCGGCACCCCATCCCCCACCCCGGGCCTGGGTTGCAGCCTCACTGTGCAGTTCTGAGCAGAAAACAGGAAGGCAGCGAGGGGCAGAGCAGACCCGTCAGCTGATGCGCCCGCCCGCTGTCACAGCTGTGCTGCCGTCACCAGGCCGGGCAGCAGGGGGTGGCAGGCCCTGCCCGCTCGCTGCTTCAGACATACACACGCCTCCCCGTCCCCCGACACCAGAACCCCGCGTCCATGCAGGGCTGCTGGCCCCCAGGGCAGCGCCCATCTTGGGACACCCCTCACTCGAGAATTTGCACGCTGCAGCAGCGCTGCCCTTGTTCGGCGCTTGTGGCATGCCACCCCGGGCATCCTGCATGCCTGTGCTCTAAAACTCATGGCTTGTTTATTTCTGGAATTTTCCATTTAATGTTTTCAACCTGTGGCTAACCACAGGTAACTGAGACCACAGAAACCAAAACCAGGAATAGTGGGGGCAGGGGGAGCCCATGGACAGGTTGCTGGCTGGCCCATCACAGGACACAGCGGCCGCTCAGAGCTGCAGATCCAGGCTGGGGCAGTGCCTGCCGTGGGGCACCGATGTGCAACTTTTACTTGAGAAACTCACTCCTTTTGATGTATTTTTAAATGTTTATTTGAAAGCGAAAGGAGAGGGGCAGGGCGGTAGAGCTCTCCCACCGGCTGGGCTGGGTCCCTGGGAACTTAGTCTGCGTTTCTTTTTCTTTTTTTTTTAAAGATTTATTTTTATTGCAAAGTCAGGTATACAGAGAAAAGGAGAGACAGAGAGGAATATCTTCCATCCGATGATTCACTCCCCAGGTGACCGCAACAGCCAGTGCTGCACCAACCTGAAGCCAGGAGCCAGGAGCTTCCTCCAGGTCTCCCACGCGGGTACAGGGTCCCAAGGCTGTGGGCCGTCCTCCACTGCTTTCCCAGGACACAGGCAGGGAGCTGGATGGGAAGCAGAAGTGCCCATATGGGTTCCTGGCATGTTCAAGGCGAGGACTTTGGCCACTAGGCCACCGTGCTGGGCCCCAGTCTGGGTTTCTTAGAATGTTCTAGGGGCCCAGCAGTGAAGATGCTGTGGAGGGTCGGGGATGGGGTAAAGCGTCCTCTCTCGGGCACCAGCTCTGAATCCTCCCTCCATTCCTGATGCCAGCTCCCTGCACGTGTGCACGCAGGGAAGCCCCAGGGGCGGCCCCCGACGTGGGAGGCTGGAGCTCCTGACCCCCTCCTGGTATTACTGACGTGTGGCGTGAACTAATACCCAGAAGACGGAGCACTAGCTGTGCACCTGTCTGTGGCTCTCTCTCCTTCCTGTACAAAAATGCAGTTTAGTTATATCTACTTGTTACCCTGCCGCAAACAAAGGGATGCTACATCTGTGAATTCAGTGTGGGTGGGGATGGAGGGCTGCCGCCCCGGGTGCCCAGGGTCGTGGCCGGGCCGTGGCCTCTCTAAGCAGCCTTCACTTCAGGTGTCCTGTGACTGCATGTCTGCCCACACACACCGCCCCGTGGCATGTGTGCAGTTTGCAGTCCTAGGACCAGTCCCCCCAGCAGACATGGAGCACAGAACGTTCCAGAAGGCTCTGCCAGGGCTTCCCCATCTGCTACCCACGACAGCCCCAGAGCTCCGGATCTGTGGCTATTTCAGGCCAGGAAGGAAGTGACATTTCAGGAGCAAAAGTTGAA